TGTTGCCTGTGAATCAAGATGTAGGACTCTCGGCTCCTTCTCCAGCACCATGTCTGCCTGCATGCCACCATGTTGTAGCATGGTGACAATGGACTAAACCTCTGAAACTGTAAGCCACCCCAATTAAATGTTTTTCTTTTATAAGAGTTGAGGTGGTCATGGTGTCTCTTCACAGCAATTGAAACCCTAACTAAGACACATGTCTTTTTTTGTTGTTGTTTTTTTCAAGACAGGGTTTCTTTGTGTAACAGCCCTGGCTGTCCTGGAACTAGCTCTGTAGACCAGGCTGGCCTTTAACTCACAGAGATCCCCCTGCCTCTGTCTCCCCAGTGCTGGGATTAAAGGTGTGTGCCATCACCATCAGCAGCATGTCTTTTTTTTTTTTTTTTAAGTATAAAGAAAAAAAGAAGGGGCTACAGATGCCTAGAGGTAGGCTACCTGGCAGAATGCAAACAATGAAGACACTCAAGTTTGATGTTAAATGGGGACTACAGGCCACCCAGAAGAAGGGTTTTAGAATGCTCTTGGGAGTCACTTGTTTAAATATGTTCCAGATTTGTTTATTTCTCATGTAAACTCCTATTGGGCTTTCAGTAGTTTGGCTGCCAAGGCTCAGACTTAAGGCAAACATCCTGAGGTCATTCTCTGAAGATGGAGGAACATCAAGGACCCTTAAGAATCTGCCCAGAGGTCAGCTGCCTGGAGTTAGGAGCTAGAACCCTGACTGTCAGAACTGGCCTATATCTTTGAAATCACAGCTGCTTCCCACAGAGCAGTAGTGACTGCACCAGGGACACACAGCCATGAAAGCTGCTCGGGTGTCAGCTGAATTTCCAGTCACCCTTCTCTTGAGGAAGTGAGGGACCAAGGTGACTCATCCAGGGTCCTGATCCTTTACCTCCTGTTTCTGGATGTGGACACAAAAGCTCTGAGAACCCTTTCGAAATCATTTGAAGATACTCATGTTAAACTTAGTTTCTACCTCCATGATATTCAAAGAGCCTTTAATAGGTGGGGCTGTGGTGGGAGATGACCCAGCTATGGTGTCAATGGGAAGGGATTCATGCCAGTCTCATGGAGTGGGTTAGACTGTACAGGAGTGGTTTAGTTCCTGTGAGAGCAGCAGTTATGAAAGTGAGTCCTTTCCCATCTCTCTCTGTCTCTTTCTCTGGGAGATCTCTTTGGTACACACTCATGCCATGTAATGCCATCTATCATGACATGACACAGTCAGAAGGGCCTTCCTTTCCTGAGAATGCACACATGGAGTTGAGACTTCTAACCCCCAGAACTGTGAACTAAGTAAACCTCCTTTCCTTCGAAATTACCCAGCCTCAGATTTTTGTTATAGCATCAGAAAATGAATCAAGACACACTCAAAATAATCCTATTACATCTACAACCTATGATTCTTGGCACATCCCATAGCAAGATAAAGCAGCAGTAGTCTGCATTGTTTTTATCTTACAGATAAAACAATGCTGCTATGATATTTGTTTATAATTATTCATGTAGACACATTTTTTCAATTCTTCGGGGTAAATACAAAGAGTGAAGTTGATGAGTTATATAATAAGTTATATAATAAGTTTTTTTCTGAGACAGGATCTTACTATGTTGCCTGGCCATATACCTTTTAAAGGTGAGCGTGTTCATTTCCAGCAAAGCCCTTTGTCCACTCTTCTTTTTAAGGATTTATTTTAAATTCTCTCTGTCTATGTGTGTGTGTGTGTGTGTGTGTGTGTGTGTGTGTGTGTGTGTGTGTGTTGTGGATATGTATGCACTTCCCTAGAAATTGCTCTGATTTCCTCAGTTCTAGATGAAAGAAAGCACAAATGTCAGAACACAAGGGCATGGTTTTAAACCCTGTTCTGCCACTCTATTTATTGTTGGTAGCATGTTTCCTAAGAAGGATACTATGCATTTTTCTTGAAATTTAAAAAATTCATTATTATTGTGTATGGAAAATGTATGTGTGAGAGTGTGGGTGGGCCATGGAGCATGTGCAGAAAGCCAAAGGACAACTTGGTAGAGTAGGTTCTCTCCTTCCTCCTACTAAGTGGGTTTCAAAACGGATTTTAACAAGCAGCTTTACTTGTTGAGCCCTTTACCTAAGATACGATAAGAATTCGTATCTTAGGAGACTTCACTGAATTTAAAGTGACAAATCATATTAAAGAACTATAAAAATTATGAACAATGTATAAGCGATAGCTAAAACTGTAAATAACAATAGCATTTGCATTTGTACGTGGCTTCCTCTAACCTACGTTCCCTGAGAACATCTGCCTTGTGTGGGACTTAATCCTATGTCATTTCTTCCTTGAGAAGGACCATGCCTTAATCACTTTGTTTCTTCCAATGCACATAGCATCAAATCTGTGTATGGACATTTATTGGATGAATAAATAAACTGATAATGATGATAGTGAATCAAGCTCAGAAAACAGAACAAGAGACTACTAGCACAGCACAAAAGAGCGGTCTAGTTAAGGATGCCACAACTGGACCATCCTCACCAATGCCTGGTAGACAGTAGTGAGCACTTGGGCAGTGTGTGTGTATGTGTGTGTACACATGTGTGTGTATGTGTATGTGTATGTGTATGTATGTGTGTAGTGTGTGTGTGTCTGTGTATATGTGTGTGAGTGTGTGTGTCTGTGTGTGTAGTGTCTGTGTGTGTGTGTAGTGTGTGTATGTGTGTAGTGTTTATATCTGTGTATAGTGTGTGTATATGTATGTGTGTGTTTACTGTGTGTATGTGTGTATGTGTGTATGTGCGGTAGTGTGTGTGTATGTGCATGTGTGTGTGTATGTGTGTGTAGTATGTGCGTGTCTGTATATGTGTGTGTAAGTGTGTGTGTGTATCTGTGTGTGTATGTGCATGTGTGTGTAGTGTGTGTGTGTGTCCTATTCAAGAAGAATGGGAAATTAACAAAAAAGCAGAAATGACACAGACTTTTCAAAATTTGCCCCCTTTTTTATTGCCATGTATAAGATGAATTCGAACAAAGAAACAATTACAGACAAGGGAGCACTTAGGAGGAGCATTTAGCTATTGCATGGTCTAGTCAAAAAAGACCGGACATTTCTCAGTTTGGGCAGAGCAGGTGGTGTGGTGAGGAGACACAGAATAGGGGAGGGGCACACATACATGCCTGTCGAGTTTTGAGTTTTCTGGAAGCAGATGCTGAGAGAGAGGTGGAGATGCAGGATGTTTACTGGAAGAGGAAGCAGGATCAAGTTGAGGAAAAGTTAAACTGCTTTGTAGATCCCACACAGACCCAGCCAACCCGGCAGGGAACTCTGGAGTAATGGGGCACAGCTGGGTGTCCACACCTCTGCTGTGCCCAGTCACAGGGGAGGGCAGTCACAGGACAGGCATGCCCTTGTGCTGGACTGTTCTCTGTAGCTGAGGTGGTCACTGGGAACTGAAGTGGCTGAGGACCCCTGCTGGCTGTACTCCCTGAAGGTGGGCAGCACACCTCTGTGCCTCTCACAGAGAAAGAGGAAGGGCAGTACAGAGAGAATGGATCCTATGGATTTTGCACTTTATAGGTGGGGATAAAGAAAAGTAAGTAAATAGAGCTTACCACTGAGGTCTCTACACAGATACTATGTGAATGTATTTCTTTTACCTATTAACACATATTAAATAACAGGGAGAAAAGGGGAAAAGGTAATAACATTGATTCCTCATATGTTGACTTTGAATATCCTCAAGATATTAAGGTAGAGATCATGTTCAAAGGAAACCGAGCAGTAGGCATATTTATAATCCACAACGGGTGGGGGGGTTGAGAGAGGAGGATCACAGGTTCAAGGCCAGCCTGGCCTACATAGTGATACCCTGTCTAAAACAAAGCATAGAAGTCAGTGTAGGGGTGGAATTGCTGCTCACTGTCAGGAGCCTGCCTAATCTTTGTGAAGCCTTGGAGTTGGTCCTTTGGGAAAAAATTAGAGCAAATATGGGATTTGGAGAGGTAACCATTGCTGTATTCATGATGTATGTATTATCTTACTTGCATTAGTTTACCTGATACCCATAATGTGTGTTTGAGGTAGATATTTTGTTATATCCTTTTGTGTATTTTATTATCCCTTTAAGGAAGAAAGATTTGGAGAAGTTAAATGCCTGACTCCAAGATGTAAAGCTGAAATCTGATTTTAGAATGTTCTTAAAGCCGAGTGGTGATGGTTCATACCTTTAAAAAAAATTTTATTGATCTTTTTGTAACATAGCAATCCCAGTTCCCCCCTCCCCTCCTCCTTCTCCCCCTACATTCACACCCCCCCATCTCCCCATAGGCTTCTCATTGAGGGTAAGGAGTGGCACACACCTTTAATCCTAGCACTCTGTGGGGTGGGAGAGGCAGGTGGATCTCTGCAAGTTTGAGGCCAGCCTGGTCTACAGAGTATGTTCCAGGACAGCTGGGGCTACACAGAGAAACTCTGTCCCAAATAAATAAATAAATAAATAAATAAATAAATTCTTAAAAATTAAAAAAAAAATTCTGTGTGTGTGTGTGTGTGTGTGTGTGTGTGTGGCTAGTGCTCTAGGAGGCCAGAAGAAGCCACCAGACTCCCTGGCCCTGAAGTTACAGGCAGTTGTGAGTGCGCCTCCTGCCATCCTGGGTGCTGGTAACCCAACTCAGGTCTTCTGAAAGAGCTGAGTCATCTATCCAGCTCCAAACACATGCTTGTTGCTCCACAGAAACCACGAGAAATAGATATTTAAAGTCAGTGCATGGGAAAAAAAAGAAGAAAGACAGCATCTTCCAAGGTGAATGGAGGCAAAGAGGTTGAGAAGAATTCCAGAATAGTTTTATGAATTACAGTGTCTCAGAAGAGAGTTTCCAGCTCCCAGAGTCAATGACTCACACATTTTGGAGGATATGATGACAATAGAGGTTATGGCGATCTTTGACTACTTCATAGAAAGAGGACACCACTGGTTTCCGAGCAAACGACAGATGAAGAAATAGAACAAAGGGTATAGGTTATTTTTTTTCAGAAGTTTTAATAAAATGGAGGAAATAATTACACCTTTTACATAAATAAGATATTTAATATTTAATTAATTATTACTTGTTCTCCCATATAGCTTGATCTTACAATTGTGACATTTCTCTGGTTCTTTCAGACCAGTATCCCTTCTCAAGTTGTACGCACCTAGATAACATTAAATGTTGTTTATCTTGGTTACAGGCAACTCATTTTATTTAGTTAGATGTTGGGGTGCCTCCAGTGAATCTGCCTTTGCAGGGAGGTCACAGACACCCCAAGTCTATCGTCTGATTTCCGCAGATAAGCAAGCACCGCTTCTCAGACCAGTTAAACAAAGCATGCCTGTTGCTCTCAAGTGCTTTGTCTACATACCCTCTTTACACCCCTTCCTCAAACTGGTTGGCAGCTGCAGGAGAAAAAGTGAATTGTTGCTCTAAATCTCCTGAGATCCGGTGGCCCGCTGGGGGAGTCTGTTTGGCTTTCTATGAGCTGTGACCTTCCCTTACCACCCCCTTCAGTCCAGCCCTTTTTCCGAGGGGACTCGAGAGTAATTAGCAGCGCCGTCCACCCGTGCACAGGAAAATGCCCACGGCCACGCCAGCAATTATGAAAGTGCCCACCAGGATGCCCAGGACAAGCGAAGTGTAAGAGCGGCCTGTTTGGCTCCCTGCAGAACAGGCAGAGAGTGAGTTTAAGAGAATACTCCCAAGGAGTCCCAAGTTTGGCTCAAACCTCAAGGCATCTGTACTTCACCCAGAGACTTAAGTCATGCATATACCCTCGCACAGTCTCCAAACCCCTCCTTTTGTTACACAAGGGATACCTCATGTCTGTCCACTTGCCTGGAAGCTGCCCCCTCTCCCCACACACAGGCAGGGCCCAAACCTCCTCATACCTTTCGTGTTTTGTGTGATGATGTGGTTCTCCACATACTGCACACAGGTGTCCTGAAGGAATTCCTGCAGTTCATACCGAGTCCGATTGTAGGCGTTAAGCTGCTTCAGGGTGAAGGTGACAGCTTCGGAGGGCTCCTGGGTGCGCATCACCCACAGAGCGGTCTTTGGCTGGAAACTTACAAAGGAGCTCCCATTCACAGCCACATCGAAGAAGACGCGGGCTTCGGTGCTCTCAGTCTGCTCCTTGGACGGGAGCTCGCAGCCCAGGGAGCAAGTGATTGTGAGAGGAACTACGGGGGGGGGGGGAAGGGGGGGGGCTCAGTTCTGAGCTTGCTTGAGAAGGTACCAGG